GGCCCTTGAGGCATTATTTCTGCCACTGACACCAACAACAGAGCATGATTCATGCCAGTGACACCAACAGTGGGCATAATTCCTTCCACTGACACCAACAATGGAGCTCTATTCCTCCCACTGCCACCAACTATTTATACCCCTAATACCAAAGATCGACATTGTTTAATTCTACTGGTTACAGCTGGTCCACTAAATTCTGAAGAACAGTAAACTGGCCCTTTATTTGGAAAGTTTGGAGACCAATGCTGTAGACTCTGTCATCAAAATGAAGTATTTGTAACCTGTGCCTCTTTTTACAAAGTGGGAATGAACTTAAAAAAGGACCACTAGAAGCAGGAGCAAAAAAGATGAATTTCCTCAATACAAAGATCCATTGCATATTATTCCACTCCATTTTTACAAATCTATATTGTTACTATATATTAATCAATATTTTCAAGTATTTTTTTTAGCAAGCAATATTTAACCATTCTCCACTTAATCATTTTAGTAATGTTAGCTGGAGAAGAACTTCAGATGGCTACATGTGAATCTCCCCTGCAGTCTCTGCTTATATATTCCAGACTTCAATGGAAAGAGGATGTAAACATTTAACAAAAAATAAACATAAAGGGTAAATTCTGTACTTTGATGATTGATGCTAATTTTAATTTCAATCATGCAACAAATGTATTTCTATAAGGAAGACATCTACACAAGATCTTTGAAATCCCTTTAACTACTTGTCTACGGGGCAATATTTAATTTTTTTGCACCCATGTTAAAATCTGCATTTTTTCTTTTGCTAGAACGTATTTTAAACGTGCAAACAATTCTACATTTTCAGAAAGCAAACTTTATGCTGTCCTATATATGTGCAGCTATTTACCAAATACATATTTTCAGGAAAAAATAAACTAAAATGAATTAAAGTGCAAGCAAACACAATATTATACTTAATTTCTGCTAAAATTTAAAAGATGGGGTTGTGTGGAGTAAATAGATACCCCACATGTCAAGTCTTTTTTTTGTAATTCCTTTATTTTGACAAAGGTTAAACAGTTTACAGATATGTGTTCAATAGACACACAACAGAGTGTTGTACATATAGAAAAATGTCATGGATAATGGCGTTAATTGTCAAAGTAACACTGAGAAAACTTCATTCCAAGGAACAGTATGATACTGGAACATAACCTGGAGACATACAATAAAAGATATTACATTGACCACAGAAAGGAGGTTCTAAGGAAAAACATGAATGCTTATGGTGGTCTAATCCCAGATATGGTATTAAATGAGCAAATACCAAATTTTTAAGGGTAAAAACAATTTGAGAGGTGCTTCCAGGAGCAGGTGGGGGCATGGAGAACAGAGAAGAAGGGGAGAAGAAAGGCAGAGGGAAATAAATTGGAGAGAAGAAAAAAAAGGGGAAAAAGTGAGGGAGGGGCAAAACAGATCGGGGCCCCCTGGTAAGGGAGAAAAAGAAGAGGGAGGCATCATTCTCCCAGGTAGGAGGCTGGAAGACATGGGATTGGAGTCACTGGGTTGCGGCCAACTCACTGAGGTAGGCATCTGTGTATATGAAATAATGCAAGGGCCTCCAAGTTTCAGTAAACGCTTCCTCCGTATTGTGACTGTAAGGTCTTTCATGTCCCGGAGTTCATTGAATTTTGTAAACCATAGAGCATTAGTTGGAGGATTGACATCTCTCCCAGTGGAGAGGGATACATGCTTTAGCAGCATTCAAGAGTTGTATAGTAAGGGAGTGCTTATACTTTTTATTAGACCTCTCTGTCAGGTGCAGCAGGCAGGCCACAGGGTCATCGTGTAGGTCGACCACAGTGAGTTGCTTAATGATAGCGGCCACTGCCTACCAAAAAGGCTGAATTAGTGGGCATTGCCAGAAGATGTGGACCATGGATCCCTCACCCACCACACAGTGCCAGCATGAGCTAGATATCTTAGGGGAAATGCGGAGAAGCATGGTGGGGACCTTATACCAAATGGTAAGAATGTTGTAGCTGGTTTCCTGAACCCTCGAGGCAATAGAGAATTTGTGGGAAAAGTAAAGAGTTTTCTCCGTGAGCTGTGCCGTGAGTTTTAGGCCCAGGTCTGCCTTTCATTCGGCCAGGAAAAGTGGTATGTAGTCGGCTCCAGGGTGGATCAGGATGGGTATATTTGGGAGAGAATGGTGTACTGGTTCCCCCTCATGACACAGGGACTAAAAAGCCATAAGAGGTCTGGAGATGCCTGGAGTGAGGGAGGGTCGGTGGAGAAAGAAGTGCAGCTAAAGCCAGCCCCAAAAGTCCAAGGGAGGGTCAGCAAGTCAAGTAAGGTCCGTGGAAATGAGTGCGCCCCCCCGAGGTCAGGAAATCCATTTGGTGAGTGTAGTCAGAGGATTTAAATCAGAGAAATTAAGGGTGGTGAAGGCCCGGTCTAAATTCTTGGTTACCTGTGATGGGGATCATGGGGGAAGGCTGTGGAGAGACCGTGGAGGGATGAAACATCTCCCTTGAAACCAGTAAAGTGCTGCAGAGGGTAGGATGTGCACAGAACTCTTTGGGTAATGGAGAGGAGATCCAAGGCCAACTCATGGCAGTACCCCCAGAGTCCCCCATTTCCATATCTACCCAGTGTTTGGCGCCCCCATGACAGTACCAGTCCACCAATCTGGTAAGATGAGTTGCCCTGTAATAGGCCCGAATATCCGGAAGGTCAACACCCCCAGACATCTTGGGTAGGGTCCTCCTATGTAGAGCTAGATGGAGCTTCCCATGCGACCAGACAAAATTCCGGAAGAGGGAACTGAGTCTGTGGAAGAACGTTCAGGGAAGGGCTTGCAATGGAGAACTCTAGGGAGTATCGTCATCTTGAGGGTGGTGAATCGTCCAAACCAAGTCAAAGTTAACAAATGCCAATGTAAGAGATCTTCCTTAATTTTTGTGCCATGATGATACGTAATTGCTTCTGCAGCCCACATGTCAAGTCTCAAAATTGCTCATGACCATAAAATCACAGAAAACTATGATAAGAAAAATTGTCTATAGCTGAGGCTTTAAAAGCGTTTACTGATTGTCAGTTTAGAGTTAATAATGAATTATGGCTCTATAATTGTTGCTCTCTCCGGGATGGATCAGAATGATTCCGATTCGCCAGCTCAAGAACAGAGCCTTTTGCTGGTGTGTCCTGGATGCCCTGCAGCAAAAATGAGGAAAAGAGTGGGGATTTCAGATACCCGGACTGCTGCTTGGGCACTGACTGCTCATTGCCCATGGAGGTAAGTACAGAGAGGACCAGGGGGGTAAGGAAGCTGTAGGGTGATAGTTCACCTTTTCATTTTTTTCTAAAAACGTAACCTAACCCTTTAACTTAAACTAAAAGCTATGTCCTTACTGAAAACTATAGACCTTACAGACCAGCATTTAGCCACAATCTGGTACTCCCAAAGACCCCAGAGCCTCTTTCCTTAAAAAAATTCCCCCCAAAATTATATCTGTAAAGGAAATAAGTATTTGATCCCCTGCTGATTTTTAATGTTTGCCCACTCTCACACAGAAATGATCAGTCTAAAAATCGAATGGTAGGTGTATTGTAACACTGAGAGACTGAATAGCAAAAAAAAATTCAAAAGAAATGCATGTCTAACAAATGATGCACTGATTTGCATGTTCATGAGGGAAATAAGTATTTGATCTCCTATCATTCAGCAGGATTTCAGGCTACCAGGTGTCTTTCATACAGGTAACAAGATGGAATTAGAATCAGTCTCTTAACGGGAGTGCTGCTAATCCCATTTTGTTACCTGTATAAAAGACACCTGTCCACAGGAAAGAATTACAGATATAAAAGTGCAGCGCTATAAATCCTTCATCCGCATAAATATATTATATGCAAAAATACCTTGTGAGGATCCACACAGATAGTACACCCATGGTGTAGTGAAATGCGATTATTGAGCTGCACATATGTGAGTAGTACTTTTTTAATTATGCAGTTTTTACACTATGTTGGATCTTTTTGCCTTATGTGGGACATGTATGGAGAGGTGTTCGTACTAATATCCGGAGGTATTCGTTGGATATATACTTATCAGAGGAGGAAGTACCACCGTTATTGCTGAGGAGGTTCCCACGGTGTCTTGGGAGGATAGCAAAAGAGGCATTTAATCTGGCTCAGTGGTCCTGAGGGGCCTGGGCAGGAAGGTGAGGGGGCACCCCTGTCACTGTGGATTCATTATCCAACTGGGAGCACTTGCATGAAGATTGCCGTGTGTTTGTTTCACTTATTATTATTGAGAGCAATCACAGCACTATATATAATTCTTCCTCAGTAGATGTGATGTGAGATATTTTGCATATAATATATTTATGCGGATGAGGGATTTATAGCGCTGCACTTTTATATCTGTAATTCTTTGACTGTATTTGGTGCCAGGGTTGTGACACCCAAGTGCTGGCTGCTTATTATATATATTTTTCTAATAGCGCAGGGGTATTATATATCTATATATATATATATATATATATATATATATATATATAAATTTACCTGTCCACAGGAGCAATCAAACAATCCGATTCCAAACTCTCCACTATGACAAACACCAAAGAGCTGTCCATGGATGTCAGGGACAAGATTGTAGACCTACACAAGGCTGGACTGGGCTACCAAACTATCACCAAGCAGCTTGGTGAGAAGGTGACAACAGTTGCTGCAATCCTTTTCAAATGGAAGAAACACAAAACATCCTGGAGGTGATGGTTTGGCTCCCACAGAGCCATGATCTCAACATCATCAAGTCTGTCTGGAATAACATGAAGAGAGAAGGATTCGAGGCAACCTCCATCCACAGAAGATCTGTGGATAGGAAGATGTTTGAAACAACCTACCTACCAAGTTCCTTCAAGAACTGTGTGCAAGTGTACCTAGAAGAACTGATGCTGTTTTGAAGGCAAAGGGTGGTCACACCAAATATTGATTTGATTTGGACTTAATTTCTGTTCATTTACTTTCACCTTGCCCTCCGCTTCCATTTCTGCTATTCTTCTCAACCCACTTCCTGGTTGATTGAAGACCAGCATTAATTCAACACCTTCCTGCAGGGGTGGACTGACAACTCATGGGGCCCCCGGGCAATAAGGGATCATGGGTCCCTTGTGTCCTTGCCCAAACTCAAAAAAGCCTATGAAAAAGGTACCAGGGGCATCTCATGGGGCCCCCTACTGACCCCGGGCCCTTGGGCAGTGAACGGTGCTCACGTGCGCTAGTGTTGCACTATGAACCACACACTGTAGACACCTGGAAGAAATAGGAAGGGTCCATGACATCACCAGACCAATCAGAAGACAGCTGGAGTTAAGGTAATGTATTTCTTTACAGCATTTAAAATAAAATAGATGTGTGAGGCTCAGAGAGAGTGGTATGGGCTGGAGACTGGAGCTGTGCTTCAAAACGTATCTTAAGTCTTATTTAACACTTTTTTTATGAAATGATGAATAGGTAATAGGTCCACAGTTCCAGTTATTTAGCCATTTGTTAATTTCAAACCTGGTACACCTATTTCCTTCAATTCTAAGCCAGGAAGTGGTGCAATGCTCTTTTTGTTTACATCAACCCAGAAATAAGATTGTGTTTAAAGGGAAGAGAAGCTAAGCAGCTTAGCACTCACTGAGAATTATCACATGTTTTAGTCTAAGTCAGGGGTCTCCAAACTTTTCAAACAAAGGGCCAGTTTACTGTCCTTCAGCCTTTAGGGGGGCCTGATTGTGGCCAGTGGGGGTAGAAAATGTTCCCGGCAAAGCATCAGTGAGAATAAACATTGCCTCAGGATTGGTGGTTAATAAGAGGAAGAGTAATGCCGCATCATTGGTATTAGTGGGAGGAATAGTGTCCCATTGTAGGTGTCAGTTGGAAGAATAGTGCCCCGCTGTTGGTGTCAGTGAACGGAAAAGTGCCTCATATTATTAGGAGGTATAGTGCCCCAAGGGCTGGATAAAGGTTAGCAAAGGGCCGCATCTGGCCCTTGGGCTGCTGTTTGAAGACCACTGGTTTAGGTGATACATAGGCAGGTAAGTACAGATGTGTATTAAAACAGACACAAATTAATGTTTTTTTTTATTATTAATATTATTATATATTTTATTCATTTTTTTACTACAAACTCAACTTTATATTAAACATTACAAAACACAATTTTTCATACAAATTACCTATCCCCCCCCCCCCCTTCAATTTTTCTTCCTCTTCTCTTACTATTTTCTTTTACTTCTAGTTCCTCTAATACTCTTACTATCTGTCTTCACTCCCCTTCTCTCCATCTACCTATCTTTTGTCCTCTTACGGGACACTAATTCCTTTCATTAATCTCTCCCAGCTCTTTAGACTTTGACTACTTCTAGGAAACTTTTTGATGTTTTAAAATCATACCACCTAACCGATATTTTTTAAACATTTTTCAATTTTCTCCTCATCCCTGTGGTATAATTCCTCCATTTTGTATATATACTCAACTAAATTTATCCAGTATTTTATTTTTGGGGATTCTTGTGCTTGCCATTATTTGGGGATATGTCCTTTAGCCGCATTTGTTAAATTAAATAGCATCATATTCCTATATTGTTTCACTGAAGTCTCTGATTTATGGAATAAACAAACCCATGGGTCCTTTGGTATACTGACCCCCAGTATCTTCTGTATATATTGAATTATTTCTTGCCAAAACTTCTGTATTTTAGGGCAATCCCACCATATATGTGCCATTGTTCCCTTAATCCCACACCCCCCATTGTAGGTGTCAGTTGGAGGAATAGTGCCCCACTGTTGCTGTCAATGTAAGGAATAGTACGGAATATCATTGGGAGATATAATGCCCCAAGGGCTGGATAAAGACAAGCAAAGGGCCCCATCTGGCCCTCGGGCCGCTGTTGGGAGACCACTGCTCTAGGTGATACATAAACAGCAAACTCCACTCCTGCGCTGGGGATGGACTCAGCAAAGGCTATGGTGAGAATTCAGATGTCCTGGAATATGCACTCCTTGCTGCCCTCAATGGACCGGGGTAGTCCAAAGTCACTAGATACAAAGAAAACAAAAATAGGGTGCACCGGCCTAGTGTATTATCGTAAAAAATATTTATTAAAAGGATAAAAAGTAAGTATCGTACTCACAACTGATATACAGGACAAAGGCACATCACACTAAACAGCGGTGTCCAATCCACACTGCATATAAGTCCAAAAATGGAACCCTGGACTTCCAATTGGCTAATGCGTTTCAAGGACTCAGCCTAATGCACTAGGCCGGTGTGCCCTCTTTTTGTTTTCTTTGTATCTAGGTGATACATAGGCAGGTAAGTACAGATGTTTATTAAAACAGACACAAAGGAATACAGTGTATAATTGTATAGAGGGCCCCAAAAATGGATATATACACTTCAACATGAAAAATATATGTATAAAAAGTTATTACTAGATTTTTATAAAAATCCAAGGGTAGCTGTAAGTCATGTCTGAATTATGCAATCACATTAGAAGCTCAAAGTGGTCACCATTAGCATCCAGACACTTTTGATTTTGCCCAACTACGGCATGAACTACATTGACTAGAGTGTCCACAGGAATTGCTCCATGTGATATTTAAATTTCTTCCCGTAGTGCAGTCAGTTTAGATGGTTTTCTACAGTACACCACATCTTTATTGTTCCCCACAGATAGTAATCGAGTCTGGGGAACACGGAGGGAATTCAACACCATCTCTATGTCCTATCCATCTTTGTTTGACAGATTTTTGCGGCGAGCATTTAAACTGTTGCAACATCATATCTGAGGAAGCAGAACTCGTAACTCTGTGACGCCTCCCAGATCGTTGCTTGTGCACATCACACACAGTGACATCGGTTTCAAACTTATGAATTTGTGTGATTTTTAGTCATGTTGGTATCTCTGTTCTAAATTCACATCACCAACTTCACACACATTTTCAGATTGACAATACCACTTCAAAATGGTCTTGCATTGCTTGAAAGTCAAGTGTACCTCCACCATTTTCTTTGACTCTCTCTCCTGGCAGTTATGTGATGACATCAACAATGATGTGACTACTGTCATCTTAAGGGAAACATAATACTACACATTGCTGCCATAATGCAATTCGGGTTTCAAAAAAGGGCATATATAACAGTTGAAGCATGTATTAATTTTTTTGGGCCCTTCGGTGTATACTGTATTTTTATTATTTGGATCATTTTGTCCCATTAGAACCAGAATCAGACATCCATTGGTGATACTTCCTGTTGATTCAAACCTTCCACTTGGAATTGGCTTCCTCCTTCTTCTTCCTCCCTCTCCCACCTTCTGTTGTTCTGTCATACAAACTTATAATAACCAAAGCAGCGTTTGCAAGCTTGATTTTTCTGAGGGAGGCAAAATTTTCATGTCCAAAAAATTAGGATATATTTTGAACGGCATATCTGGAAATAAATCTCAGGATGGGCAAAATTTAACGGAAAATAGTGAGGAAAGCAGCAGAATTGGGCATGCAACTCTATTATCCCTGGCTGTACATCTCAAAAGACAGCTGATTCTTGGCTCTGTATGGGCCCTGCCATCCCATGATATATTGGGTAATTCTGACATTGCCAGTATGTCTTGGGCTAATTAAATGCACCATGCTCTATTCAGAAATGTCACAATTGATTTGTCTTCTGCAAGAACTGACTTTATTTCAATCTTCTGAAAAAGGTTTTATGAGCCCCAGATAAGCTATCTGGACATATTCATCTCCCAGGACTCCCAGGGCTATGTAAGGATAGCCCAATATCTTAGATTCAATATATATTTATTTTTAGGCATTTTATGCATCTGTTCTGGGAGGTAGATCCGGAGGTTATAGGAACCGCAAGTCTTTCTATTATCATGTCGCGGAAATAAAGTAACACTAAAAACTGGCAAAATGTAACAGAAAATGACATTGTCACTATCCCCTGGGGTGAACTTTTATTCGTTCAAATGGATATATCTCATAAATTTTTGTCTGCCTCTTTCTTGGTTCAAGTAAACGACATCTAATGTACACATTTTGGCTCATAAAAGGGTTATTGCAACACGGTCAGTTAAAGAGTTGTTCTGCACTTTCACAAAAGTTGGATTTTCAGGCAAGCAAGTTATAATGAAATTTGCAAATAATATTCATTATCAGGATTTTCCTGGTATTTCTGTATGACTTGAGATTATCCCATTGTGCTCAATGGGAATTTGCTGAAATGGTGTATGTCCAACTATATTGCCTGTTTGCATCTGTTTTCCTAACCTCTACAAACGATTGTGTATAGTCATGCAAGCTTACTACTTCATATATCATCTGTTACAGGTTATGGATTTCCACTATCAAATGCCTAAACCACCACTCCTCTAACTATATCCAATTGATGTAAGATGATGTACAACTGAAGCTGCATAATTGCACATACTCAGTTATGAATGTCTGCACATTGTTAGCCAGGTTGGTTATTTGGGATAAAAAAAATAGAAAACCCTTACCTTCACAGAAACATAAAGCATACCTCAATCCAAAAACGAAATATATTTTATATATGGCAGCATACCATACCAATCCTTAGATGTGCTGGTTGCATTAATTTTCATTTTCAGCATTTTTTGTACCTTTTGTACCTTATTAAGTAGTGATCAAGTAGTGATCCTGCAAATACCACACTTGTTTTCCTTTCATCTCTACACTTTTTATCTCCCCTGTATTTATGAGGCAGCCATGGTTGTCTCTAGGTATGAGTAAATCTGCCTCGGTTTAATTCACAGGGGTACGTCCAGCTAGAATTCCATGAACCCAGAATTCATCATCAAACCCCACTGCAACCTCGGACACGGCCGATGACAGATCTGAGTACCGGCCCCCGTTGCCGGTACCATGTGACCTGCTGTGACCAATCACAGCAGGTCACATGACAGTTGTATACAATGGATGGCTTCATTCATGCCATCCATTGTATACTAGTGCCTAACTGTGAATGGTCACATGCACATGTCATGTGATTAGCTGTGGCCA